GTTGGTGATAATGATGGTGCTGATGATGATGATGGTGTTCATGGTGTCCCGGTGTCCCGATGATGCTGATGATGGTGATGCGGATCGATTGTGACATCGATAGTGAGGTCGAATGTGAGATCGATAGTGAGATCGATAGTGATATCGGTTGTGAGATCGAACGTGAAACCGAATGCCAGATCGATTGCGAGATCGGTTGTGATATCGATAGTGGAGATCGATAGTGGTATCGTTAGTGAGATCGGATTGGGGTCGGCAGAATGGGAGATCGTTTGTGATATCGATGGTGATATCGATAGTGAGACAAATAGTGAGACCGAATGTGACATCGATTGTGGGATATATTGTGAGATCGATTGTGAGATCGATAGTCAGATCGATTGTGAGATCGATCGATTGAGATCGATAATGAGATCGATATTGAGTTCGATAGTGAGATCGATGATGAGACCGACTGTGAGATCGGTTGTGATATCGATAGTGAGATCGATAGTGAGACCGAATGTGAGATCGATAATGATATCGAAAGTGCGTTCGACAGTGAGATCGATAGTGATACCGAATGCGAGATCGATTGTGAGATCGATTGTGATACCGATAGTGAGATCGATAGTGAGACCGAATGTGAGATCGACAATGAGATCGATAGTCGATTGTGGGATCAATAGCAAGACCGAATGTGAGATCGATTGTGAGATCGATAGTGACATCGGTAGTCCGACCGATTGTGAGATCCATCGGTTGAGATCGATTGTGAGATCGGTAGTGAGTTCGATAGTGAGATCGATCGAGTGCGACGTTGGTCCCTTCCCCCGCCCCTCACCTCCTTATCACCCGAAGGGTGGTCGTATAGGTATGTATATATACACACACCTCTCGGAGAAGGCCGCGGGCGGGTCGGGAACCACGGCCACGGTGACGCATGGGGGCTCCGGGGCCCCACAAGCGCTCTCGTGGCCTCCAAAGTGATTCCGTGGGCGCACAGATGGCCCAACAATTTGTACGATAGTCTACCAGTCCACCACACCCCGAGGGCGCTGAAGATGCCTTGTGAACGGCCTCCGAAAGGTTCCAGGCTGCGCCAAGACGGCCTCATGCAAGCTTAAGTGGGCGCCCGAAGCCCCAGACGAGTGCCCCTGCAGGCACAAGTCGTTGATTCCCGGGGGTTTTTCAATGTTTTGAGGGCCCCACTTTTCGAGTTTCAGACAATCGCAGAAGGCCCATGACGCCCACAAAACCGCCCCAAGACGGGCCAAGAGGCCCCAGGTGAGCCCCAGGACGGCCCGACAAGGCTCCCAGACGGCCCCCGGGGCGTCCAAGACGGCTGGAGGCCCTAAGAAGGCGCTGGGAAGGCCCCGGGCGGGCTCCAGTGGGCGCCCGAGGCCCCAGACGACTGTCCACGGCAAGCGACGGGGGGAAACGAGAAGGATAATGCCTCAGAAGGCGGCGGGACTTCTCAGAAGCCCTCGCGCCTTCTGAAAAGGTTTCTGCGTCTTGGGAGAAGGTTTAGAAAACTTCTCAGAAGGCCTGGGGACCTCCGAGCCTTCGGAGAAAGCCCGCCCCTTCTCAATTCCCCCCCGGGCTCGCCGCCGAGACTGCCCCGAGAGGCCCAAATGTGTAATTTCCCTCGTGTATGGATGGAAACAGCATGCGTTTTGCTGTAGACAGGGGGGCTTTCGCAGCCAAAGGTGGCCCAGAGCTTGGCTTTGCAAGCTGTTCGCCCCTATTCGCAGTTGCCCGCATGCCCGTCGCGAGCGACCGCTGCATTGAGGGCAGCAGCGTCTGGCCTTGAAGGCTGGACGACTCGCGTCCGATCCCGAGCTTTTCGCTGCCTGGAGGGCGGCGGCGACCGGCCCCGAGGGCTGGTCCGCTCGAAGAGCGCCTCGCCGCCTTGAAGGCGGCGGCGACCAGCCCTGAGGGCGGGTCCGCTCGACGGGGTGGACGACGGCCTCTTCGACGAGTCGCAGTTCTTCGGCCCCCGCGGCTCGCGGAACATGGAGCGGACCGCGCGCTCCGAGAGGGAAGAGTACATCATCACCAAAGATCACGCCGACGACGCCGCATCCCAGGGCTACTTGATGTATAAAGTCGACGAGGCTCGTTCAGCTAATTTTGAAGGGGGTCTCCTGAGCGTCACGCACCTGGGCTCGAAGGACCAGTTCTACAGCTGGTACAGACAGAACGCCACGGGGAAAAAGGAGCGGCCGACCTGGCTGCACCTGCGTGTGCTTTTGAGCGCAGAAGCATGCCCGTATCCGGGGTAGCGGCATGGAGAAGATCAAACCGAGACTTTCCACGTCGACCTGCGGCACCCGATGATTGTCGGCCAGGCGAGGGAGATCACATGGGTCGAGAAGAAGTCGCTTCCAGCCCAAGAAGCCCTTCCGATCGCCGCATGCGAAGAGGGGCGCCGACGCGGACGAGGACCCGCAGGCTGCAGCCCGTCTCGGACAACGCCGCCAGGTCAGCCTCCTCCTCCTCCTCCTCCTCCTCCTCCTCCTCCTCCCCCTCCTCCTCCTCCTCCTCCTTCCTCCTCCTCTTCCTCCTCCTCCTCCTCCTCCTCGTCTTCTTCCTCTTCCTCCGCGTAGGGCGTTCGCGCAGGATGTCACGGACCTCGAGAGGGCCGCGACTGGAGAAAAGAGCAGGGGCGACTTCCAGAAGAAGCTCTGGGGCCTCAAGAAGCGCTACGCGAGCGATGACCGATGGCCAGGGCCGCGGCGGCTCGGGCCGCGGCGCGCGCGAGCGCGAGCCTGACCCCTATGATCGGGGCGCAGGCGGCCCCCGGGCTTCGAACGACCCTTCCGCCAAAGAAAAGCACAAACTCGCCCACGTCCTGGCCAAGAGGGCGAACGAGGCCCAGGCGCGCGAGGGCGGCGCTGCCGACCCGGACGGCGACGAGGACGACGACGACACCCTCACTTTCAAGAGCTTCCACCGGCTCATCAGAAAGAGTGGAGACGACGACTCTGGGGGGTCGGGGGGAGAGGAGGGATGCCCAGGGTGCGGCAAGTCGAGGCGCGTGGATACCCTTCGCGCGCGGCGCAAGTCGTCTGGCAAGGTCAGCGGGGAGGCGCTGCAGCGCATGGCGAGAGTCCTCGGCGCCCTGGCAACCTACGACCTCCCCGAGGCCGCGCGCCGCCCGATCGCCCAGGCGCACGTCCGCCAGGTCCTCTTCCACGACAACACGCGCAACCGCATCGGCCAGCGGAATTCGCGGGAGGCGGAGACGCTCGCGCTCGCGGCGGACACCGCCCTGAGGGGGGGCCTCGCGTGCGCGCTCGATGTCCTCGCCCAGCGGCTCAAGGCGCTGGAGTGGTCGCGCGTCGACGAGAACTGCTCGGTTGCCCGCCGTTTCGAGCTGACCCCGACGGCGAAGATACAGCTCGCCAGCTGGGCCGAGGCGACATCCGCGCACAGTCGCGAAGAGACCGAGCGGAGGCTCAAGGGCGGCAAGACGACCTGGAGGGAAGATCGCGGGGTCGCACCCGGCCCTGCCGCCGCGACGCCCGCGGCGGCCACTGTGCTGTCTGCGCCAGTTCCGCTTTCCACGCTAGGCTCGGCCGCCCCGGGGCCGCCGCGGGGCGATCGCTGCCCCGATGGCGCTGGGAGGCCGCCCTCGGGGGCGCGGGGGCAGAGCAAGAAGAGCAGGGGCCGCTCCGCCGGGCGCCGGCGCCCCAGACAGGCGGGCCGTCAGCGACCGCAGATGAGCTCTCGGCGGCGGCCGCCCCGAGGGTGCCCCACCAACCGCTGGCAAGTGAAGCGCGGCCGCCCGCGTGCGCGGTCGGCGATTGGCGCGCAAATTCGGGTCCGAGCAGTGCCCCGCGGGCGCTGTCGAGTACCTGCAATCGTTTCACTGTCCCGCGCGCCCGCTCGACTGGCAGGTGCTGAGACGATAGTTGGGGCGAACATCGGAAGGGGCGGCTGGGCCGCTGACCTACTCGATGCTTGCGGCAGCATCGAGCAACTCGATGGCGCAGCGAGCGGGCTGCCTCTGCGAGGCCGACTCGCTTGCGACTGCTACCTTGGTCACGCCGTCTCTCCTACCAGCGAGCGCGAAGCTGGATGCCGAGCGGCCGCGTGACCGATCTGTTAATGGCCCGTCTTGGCGCGACTGCCTGAACGAGGCCCCCCCCCGCCCCGCCGAAGTCGGTGGTTGGGGATGGGGCTCGTCGCATGATTATTTATTGCAGCACAGAGTAGTTGCGCGTCGGCACGACGCGCCACGTCCTCCGCGGACTTCCTGTCGGGCGCGGTGCCGACGCTACGCATCCGAGCACCCTTGAGATTGCGCGCCGGCGCCCCCGCCGCCTGGAGGCCCGCGACAACGCCACGAGAGAGGATTCCATCGACCTGAAACTGGGGCGCGAGCACCTGGACTGCACCGGCTCGCGCGGCCCGCCGCACCCCGCGTAGCTCTCCCAGATTGTCCAGGGTCTGCCTCCCGAGGAGGGCGGTTGGCCAAGTCCATCTTGGCCGCGTTGTCCCACGAGGGGTCGCCGCGTGGCTGCGCGACCTGCGCCTCGCCCTCAAACCCGTTGCAGAGCGGCCTCGGCGCCCCCCGCGCGCGCCGGCGCGCGCGACAGACAATGACTGGGAGAAGATCGTCACAGAGCTCCGCCGCGGCGGGGCCCGCGCGATCCCCGAGGAGATCTTCTGCCCGAGCGGCCACCTCTGCCTCGACGGCGCTTTTGACGTCGCGCGCCCAAAGAACGCGGCGATGGGCTTGCGCCCCATCGCAAACCTCACCCCGACGAGCTCGTACATCGAGCCTCACGTCGGGGAGGTGTCTGACGTGCCGATGGCTGACCAATGGTCTTCGGTGGTTTTGGTTTTGCTCGACACCCAGGTCCTCTGGGTCAGCTCCAACGACCGCAAGGGTTCATTCCAGCTGTTCCGTGTGCCGCCGGCTTGGCATAGTCGCAATGCGTTTGAAAAGCGCGCGCGTGTGGTTCTTGCGTGGGCATGGGCGCGGAGGACCTCGCCCGCGCTGCCACGATTGCATGCCCTGCGGGCTGGCTCCTCGCGGTCAAGGCCACGCAGGCGGCATGGCGTTTCTTGGCCAGGGCCCTCCCGCCGCTGGGCGCCAGGCTGCAGGGTCGCGAGCGCCGCGGCTGCAGCTCGCTTCCGCTCAGCCCAGTTGCGGCTCCACGTGCGCCTCGACAACTGGGGCCCGTTCGCGGTCGGGTTCCCCACCGAATCCAGGCAGCGCCGCAGTGCCCCATCCGCCGAGCAGATCGCCTTCCGCCAGGCGCGGGCGCGCCATGGCGTCGCCAGGGCCGAGGGCAAGGGGGTCGTCAGCGAGCCAGAAGCCACCTTGCTCGGGTCCCTGTGGGATGGCGAGCTGGGCGCGCAGGGCCCTGAGACGAAGCGTTTACGCTTCGTCCTGCACCTCATCCTCCACGCGATTTCGCGGCCCAGGGTCAGCCGCCGGCCGCTGGCAGCCGCGCTTGGCACTCTTTGCCACGTCGCCACGTGGCAGCGCCCAGTCCTGTCTGTCCCCAGCGCTTGCTTTCGCCCGCTCGGGAGCGCGAGCCCCCGTCCACTGTGCGACGAGGTTGTCGACGAGTTGCTCGCGACAGCGCGCCTGTCGCCGAGCTGCTCGGTCAATCTCCGGGCGGCCATCGACCCCGGGCCCGTCGTCTTCGACGCGTCGGAGTTCGGCGGCGGCGCGCGCGAGGCAGCGAGCCCGACGCTTGCTGTCGCTGGGCTCGTCTTGCGGCGTGCCGGCGAGATTGGCCGGGATGCCCCAGGCCGCCACCAGGACCGCCACTTGGTCATATCGTTGTGGGGCACGGCAGCTGGGGCGCGAGCTGCGCGCGACCTCGCGGGCCTCGACGTCGCAGCCCGCGCGCCCTGCCCCCCGCAGGCGACACCCCGCATAATTGCCGAATCGGTTGCGGAGGTCGACGAAGAGTGGAATTTCACGCGCGAGCTGTGGGCAGGCTTCGCCGACCGCATTTGCGAGACTTGCGCTGGGTTACAATGCCTCCTCCACGTCCAGATCCAGCTGGATGACCCCCGCCGCGCGCGCGAGTCGCTCCAGGCGTGATCTCATCTGGGCATGCGCAGCGTTGCGTGCCCCGGGTCGGCGGAAGTCCCGCCCGCGCTGCTGCCCGACCTCCGCGGCCAGATCGCCGAGGCAGTTGGCGCCCCGCCGGTCGTTGTCGACAGCTCCGCCCTTGCCAACATCGCATGCGCCCGCCTGTTCTGGGCCCGGGGCTTCAGCATGAAGAGCGCGGTCTGTGCCGAGCGTGAGCAAGGCGGCCAGAAGGGCTCCTCCCGTTTGCCAGCAGCAGGCCTCATTTTGTCGAGGTCCTCAGCCTGGGCGCTGCTTGCGCCGCGCGGGCCGGCGTCCATTTCAAGGTCCGCTCAAGAAGGAGGCGCGGCTGAGCGCGCCGCGTGCGCGACCCCAGGTGATCAAGAATTCCTTGGCAAGGGGGCGCATTGCAGAGGAGCCCGAATGGCTCATTGGGAGCGTCATGGGCCAGACCCGCGAGAAAGGAAGCAAGAGTGCGTCCGGTGCTGCCCGGGAAATCGCACGACGCGAAGTCCTGCGCACGGCGACGTCGCCACTTGCTGTTGCCGTGCTGCTGCAAGTTCTTGCGATGAGCCGGAGGACGAACACCCCCTTGGCACTTGGCGAGGCGCCGAGGCGTTCCATGTTTGCGCAGATCAGCCAGACTAGGAAAGCGGCGCGATGTGGCGTTGACGAAGTTATTCTCTTACCTTCGCCTGAACGGCGTGGACCTTCCTCAGTCTCCATGCGCGGTTGACGAGGCACTTGTGGGGTGCATTTTTCACTGGTAGGACGGCGACACGTCGGGCCACGTCGGCGACGCCATCAGCGCAGTGCAGGCCCGACTCCCCGCATTGAAGAGATGCTTGCAGGGCAATTGGCTCATGCTGAAGGCATGGGAGAACAGAGAGCTGCCAGTCCAAGCGCCGCCTCTGCCACCAGCGGTGGCTTGGGGCCCGTTGGGCTTCGCGCTCGATGTGGGCTGCCCCGGCGTAGCGCGCGCGCTCGCCCGGCATTGCGTGCTTCGCGCCGCCGAGGCGTTTAGCCTCGAGGCCTCAGCCATTGCCCTCGGGCAGTCGAGCTCGGTGGTCGCCCTCGCCTTCTCCAAGAAGGGGCCGCGTGACACGGTCGCCATCTGCGACCCCCTCGCCACCCGGTTGCTCGCGCGGCGTCTGAATGGCGTGTTTCTTGGCGATCGGTTCGCCGAAAGGAGCGATTAAAGGTTGCGGCAGTTGCCCAATAGTTTTCTTAATTGTTCCAATGCAAGCATGCACGGCTTCCGCCTGTACAGCTTCAGGCGCGGAAGAGCGACGGATCAGTTCTGCTCGCAGGGGGCCACGGGCCGGACTTGCGAGCGAGGGCGCTGGGAGAGTCGGAGAACGGCCCGCGTCTACATCACCGATGGGGCCTCCCAGTTAGCCGCTAGCCCGCTTACAGTTCAGTTCTGCACGTGGAGAGCTGTGCCTCGAACTCGCCAGGGGCCTCAAGAGGCGATTATCCACCTGAGCCCACTCACCATCCTGGTGCACCGCGGGGACCGAGCAGCTGTCCGGCGAGCGTGGCCGAAAATCTGGAAAGTAGCCCCGGGCTCGGATCCTCCCGCGCGCAAGGTCCCCGATGCGCGGGCCAAGCGGCGCCGGAGCAAACTGGCTCGAGGCCGTTTCGTTCGCTTCGCTCCGGGCCAGGACGGCCTAAGGCCCTCCTGGTCGCCACTGTCACTGCGTGCCTTACCCTGCCGCGTGGCCATGCAGGTAGAGCATCTGATGCCAATATTCGGAGGTGGATCGACCTCCTATCGATTAGCGAAGTGGCCGTTTGGGGTTCGCGAGAGGGCGTCGCGGCCGTCATTTGTGCGGGTCCAGGTCCGTCGGTTTCGGTCCCCGGCCGTTTTCACGAAGGGAAGGTTTACTGAAGGGAGGTTTGTCTACCACCGAAATATCAGCAGCCGTGCATTATTCAGGAGGGAAAGAAACACACAGACACAATTAATCGTCGATTTCCCAGAAAATATGGGAAAACATGGGAAGTGGGGGGGAAGACAAAAACCCAGAAAATGTTAGAAAATATGGGGCATATTTTTATTTGTGTGTATTTATTTGTGTGTCCTGGGGCCCCTTCAGTTATTTGCGTCAGCATTCCAGCGGCCACGCGGCCAGGACAGGCAAACGCTGCCCATGACACTGCTTGGGTCTTCTGCCGACGGCGCTCCGTCGAGCTACCCTTCGCGGGCGCGGAAAAGAGAGCCCCCGGACCCTTGAGGGCAGGGGCCTTTTTTGCTCTGGAAAGCCAGTGCGCTCGCATCTATCTTCGGCCCCGAGGGCCCATGGCATTCGGACTCCGCGAGTGCAAAACGAGGCCCCCCGCCAGCGAAAGCAGCGAGCACCGATGGAAGCAGCATGCGTTTTGCCGCAGCCACCCTCCCACTCGGCAGTTGTCAGGAGGGGAAAAATCACAGACACAATTAATCGTCGATCCCCCAGAACAGATGGGAAAATATGGGAAGCGGGGGGGAAGACAAAAAGCCAGAACATATTGGAAAATATAAGGGAATCTTGTTCGTTGTGTCTATTTATTTGCGTGCTCCAGGGCCCCCTTCAAGTTTCACCACGCAGCAGCCTGCAGCACCGCATGGAAGGAGAGCCCCCCCTGGACCCACAAGGGCAGTGGCCTCGGCTCCGAGAGCTCATGTGTTCGCATCTATCCTCGGCCCTGGGGGCCCGTGGTATTCGGACTCCGCGAGTACAGACAGGATGCTCCCCCCGCAAGCGGGACCGACTGGTTTTTAACTCCTATTCCTCTTCCTCCTCCTCTTCCTCCTCCTCCTCCTCCGCCCTCCTTCCCCCTTTCTCTTCCTCCCTCTTCCTCCCTCCACCCCCTCCTCTTCTCCTTCTTCCCTCTTCCCTCTCCGGTCCCTCTTTCCTCCCTCTTCCCGTGTTCAATGCCCCCCCCCCGCAAACGGGGCCAACCGGTTTTTCAATGCTTTGCTTACGACAATCCAAGGCGGCCCAAGAGGCCTCCAACACCGCCGCAGGCCGGGCCCAGAGGCCCCCAGGAGGGTTCTGGGACGGCCCCACAGGGCGCCATGCCGGCCCCAGGGGAGCCCAAGGCGGCCCAGGAAGGCTTAAAGACGGCCCCACGATGGGCTCAAGAGGGCGAGCATGAACCGACATTTCGAGTTCTTCGCCCAAAGAGGCTCACAGGAGGCCCCGAAAAGGCGTCAGGACGGCCCCGGGCAGGCTCCAGGTGGCGCCCAAGGCCCCAGACGAGTGCCCCGAGAGGTCCTTAGTGTTTTTCGTGTGTTTTTGATGCCCTTCAGTTTTCAAGTGTCCGGCAAATCCACGACGGTCCCAGAGGCATCCAACACCGCCTCGGAACGGAGCAAGAGGCCCCGAGGAGGGTCCCCGGGACGGCTTAACAGGGCTCCGTGACGGCCCCAAGAGCACCCAAGACGGCCTCAGCGGCCCTAGAGGGCCCCAAGATGGGCTCCAGAGGGGGAGGAGGAGGAGGAGGAGGAGGAGGTGGAGGAGGAGGAGGAGGAGGAGGAGGAGGAGGAGGAGGAGGAGGAGGAGGAGGGGGAGTAGGAAATTCCGAAGCTTTCGCCTCAAGAGGCTCCCAGGGGGCCCCAAGAGGACCCACAGAGGATGCCACGAGGTGCGCAGGAGACCTCAAGAGGCCCCCACGACGCCCCGGAGGGCTCCAAGACGACCCCCCAAAGGCCAAACAGCGGCCTCCAAGAGGCCAACTGAGGCCTCCTGCTACCCCCCCCCCCCTCACACTCTCATGGCTTCGGACCCACAGCCCAGGCACGGTGGGGAGACAGGTCGAAGGCCAGTCCAGTCTCTTTCGCACACCTCCCGACGCTCATTCTCACATTCATTGCCGTGGCCTTCCCAGTTCCTACAATTTTTGCTGTGTTACTTTACACCTCCCCCATCCCACGTCCAAGATTCACCACCATCTTAAGATGTTCGCATGGTTCCATCTGGTTGCCTTTCGGGATTTGCAGCCTCATGTGGGGTATCCTGGGAGCCCCCACGAGGCATGCAACACGGCCCAAACTATCACTTTCTCGGAGAGCCTTCCAGGAGCATGATTGTCGCCGCCAGTCCGACGAGACCGAACAGGAGGAGGAGGGTCCGCGCCATCCCACCAGACACTCCAATTCAGCGCAGCGTTGCCCAGGGGCCCGGCCCGTGCACGGCGGAACCGTGGTCGGGCCCGCGGCCCGGCTCCAAGTGGACTCGGTGCCGAGGGTGCTGCTTGCAACTGCCGCTTGCCTCTGCGAGGCCCCCAGGAGGCCGTCGGAGGTCCCCACATGTCACACGCAGAAGGAAGAAAGAAAAAGGAGGAGGAGGAGGAGGAGGAGGAGGAGGAGGAGGAGGAGAGGGGATGAAGACGAGGACGAGAATGAGGAGGAGGAGGAGGAGGAGGAGGAGGAGGAGGACCAAAGTCGGGGCCGGACACCCTCCTGGATTTTCCCCTATTTTGGCACACGACATGTTTGACCCCTTCTGGAGCCTCCCGGCCCCCCCCCCCGCCGGTCAAACAGCTCCGGCGGCTGCCAAAAAAAGCGATTGACAGAGCCGAAAACGTTCAAATAAGACGGGTCAGGTTCAAGAGGTCCCGAAGACGTTTTAAAAAGGCTCCAAAGTGCACCCCTATATATAGGGCCCCAGGAGGCCACCATACGCAAGCATTTTGTTTGGCGACGGACCAATATTTGTGCATTTATGTATAGCGCAAAGCGCGGGTCTCTCTTCATATACTGCGCGCCGCGGGACAAAACAATTGCTGCGGAGCGCGCGTGCACGGGTGCGCTGCACTCTTTGTGGGGCACGATCCGCGTGAAGGGTGTGCCGGATAATGCGGGTGCCCCAGCGCGCACACGCCCATTGAGGCCGCAGATGGACCTCCTCCGGGCACGACAGCTCCTTCTGGGGCATGATTCGCTCGAGGAGTGTGCCGACATGGGCGGGAGGGTGTTGTACGACCCTTGTCTCTGGGCCTTTGGGTGGCGGGTGTTTTTTGTGGGC